AGTTTACAATCTTAGTATATCTTAGTATATAATATATTAATATGTACAACTAAAATTACTAATAAAGATATGAGCAAAGCCTCACCTTAACATCAAAAAAAAACAAAAACCAAAAAATTAAACAACTTCAACAACAACTTTGACAATAACAATTTAATAGCAATAACAGCAAATAAGATTTTTTAAAAAACTACACTTGAAAATAAAATTAGTCAAAAAAAAAAATAAATACAAAACTAATATATAATAAAAACACTTAATTAGAAAAATACTTAGTTTTAACTAAATAAGTAGCTTATTCATCCTAACTACCATGTAACAGTATATCCTATAACTAGGTTTATAATAACCTAAAGTTGTATCCTAAATAGAATATATGCAATAGATAATATAAATAACATTGTTCAATGATATAAAATATTATTCAAGATCCTGATTAATGGGTGCAAATTATCTAAGAAAGTTTCTCCAAAGCCTAGAGTTTGGCAAATTATATATTTAAATAAAAAATCTATTAGTAAAAGAGATTGTCATTAACACTCTTTATTACTTAACTATCTTGCACCCTAAGTTCTTAAATAATTACTTCAAAGGTATTAAGCAGAATTATTAGATTGAGGTCTTTAAAAAAAGCTTTTATAAAAAAAAAAAAAATTTAAAAATGAATATAAAAACTATTACTCCTTGAAACTGTTTTTTAGATGTATTCATCTCTTTTGATGAACCTTTAAATAGACCAAGAGACTCACCTCTTGTTTGATCCATCTTTAAAGAAACAGCACAAGAAATGTTACATTTCACATATATAAGGAAAAGAAAAAGTTTTTTATTGTAGTAGAAAAGTTCAAATATGTAAAAAGGAAAACAATAACAAATAACTTAAGAAATATTAAGTTCTTAAAATATTATTGTTTTGCTACCAATTATGTATTGATCTACATATTGCATAAATCATATTCTTGATATTTTTATAAATATATAACCATAAGTGCATCAAAAAAGTAACTCTTAACCAACATGATGTAAGTTATGTAATCATTATATCTCTCTTTTATTTATTTCAGTATTTTATTCTAACCTTGTACAAACTTTGATTTCTAATTTACTTATTTATTAGACAAACTTTAATGAATGGCAAGAGTAGAAGGCCACGACATAATAGTTTAACCATTCAAAGTCATGATTATATTACAATGAATTTTTCTAAATATTGTACTTTGTCATTGTGAGTGAAAGAAATGGATCCTAATTGACATTTAGAAGTTTATAAAAAAAAGAGACTAAAGAATACCTTCAGCAGATGAGACTTCTTTCATCTAAGAGAGTTGGCTGAGAAAGCTAACTATGGTAAACAATTTTTTTTATTTTAAAAATATTAACATTATGTAACTTTATGACATTCTTACTATCTTCATGGCCCACGTAGTTTTTAGTGCGGAAAATGCGTATAGTAATCGGAGTAGTTTGTTTTCATTTGATAGTACCAAACAAGCATTTGAATTTAAAGATAGTGGTAATGGAAAAATTCCACTTGAAGAGGTAACATATATAGCGAGTTTTTAGAACTATAATTAACTTACTATATTTCTAATATATAATAATGGTATCACTTTATTATAGTCCTTCAATCAGTGTCTTCAGACTATTGTTCCATTGATCGTTAATGAACAAAAAAGTTCATGGCTGATTTTTTTCACCTTACCAAAAAGGATTCAAAATTATTATACGATTCATAAATGTTTCTTAAGGATTTGGATGATGATGAAAATGAAATTATGCATAAAAAGCTTCTATTGTAAGCTATTATTTTGATCAAATATATATGGATATATCTTTTAGTTGAGAGTTCTAAATGGTTTTATTTTTAAAGCGAGCACATGAAAAAGCTATATGAATTATGCGTATTTATTGATTATGGATGCAAGCTTGACGCAGCGTAAGAATATTAAGCATTTAGTTTTTTAGATCTTTTAAGTCTATGTTAAATTTCTTACTAGATTTTTGTAAATATTACATCAAAAAAAAATAGCCAAATAGTAGAAATTATTGTATCTATTGAAAAACTCATGAATGAAGATGAAAGACTTGACTACAATTATGTAATTAAAGTGTTTCGAAATGTCAGAAAACATTGTCTTGAAATTTTGGAACGATTTATTGTAAGTATTCAAGGTTTCTGATAATAGCAACTTATAGCATATATATATATCCACATACGTATTTATTGTTCAATTCAATTTGGCTAAATTAGAATAAGCAACTCAAAGCAATTGAAGATACTAAGGTTACTTCAAAGAGTTCAAAGAGTTCAAAGAGTTCAAAGAGTTCAAAGAGACGAAAAGGAATAGTTCTGTTTATTCGCATATTTCCGGTGTGTACATCTAGTTTTCAAGTTTTGCATACCTCAAATTTGGACACGAAGACAATAAATTAACTCCTTATATAATGATTAGATTTAAAATATTTGTACCATTCGATTCACCTTGCTAAAATGAATTGATTGGTGCTAACATCGTTTAAATCCTTTCACTAATGTACGAATTTACTCAAAACTTATATTATTTATAATATATTGTTCAAGTTTATTGAATGTATAATGCTTATTCTTAAAATAGCGTTTTGTAGAGCGTATAGAATATTCAATTAATAGAGCTTATAAGCTAGAAATACGTCAAATTATGAAGAGTGGTTATGAAAAGATTGTTAAAACGATGTTTGATTGTTTAGAAGCGATTTCAAAAGACGAAGAATCACTAATGACTTTAGGTAATATTTCTTATACTTTACATTTTGAAATAATTTTAAACTCATTTTTTCTAATTTTTATTATATCTATTCAATAGAAAACATGCACCACTTTTATACCGAGATTCGAACTCGTAGAATAATGGTTCTTGAGCCATTTGAGATATGCGCGAAGTTCGTACGATATACATTTAGAAGCTTATGCCAAATCTGTTGTCCGGAGACCGTTTGGTAAACTGCTGGTGAGTGATTTCAAGGGATTACCTGAGTAATATTGGCTATTAACAAATTTTCTTGACTTATACTTACATCCATTCATATATATATCAGGACTTCTTTGAAGGAATAGAAAGTCTTTTAAGAACGACGTCAGCACCAGAAGAAGTTGGATTTCGGCTCAAATATAGCAAAGATGCTCTAAAGAAAGTTGTGTCACAGTACCCTGGAAAAGTAGTATTATTATTTTTTTTATTTATTTTTTAACAGCCTTTAAAATCCGCTCTTAATATAAATTATTTTCATATAGATAAGAAAAGACTTGATTTCGTTGTATAAACGAGTTGACAACCATTTTACAGAGAAGAAATTATTAATCTTAACCTTTTCAGTAACTTTTGCTTTCAATATTAACAATAAAGAGCAAATCAGAACGATCTTCATTAAGATAAACTGGAAGGTTTATAGTTGCTTCAGTAGTTGGTGTAGCTTCCTCGACTTGCACAAAGACCCATATGATTGTCTTTCCATTCAGTGCCTATATGAGTTAACAAATGTTAATATTTTATCAAAATTTAGTAAAAAAGCTAGTAATGAAAACTTGGTAAAACGTATCTTCAAGTTTAAACCCTAAGAAACGTTAATATAAATGGAAAATATATACACGCTAGATTTTGTTTTTAAACACATTTCATATAGGATCAATAAAACCTTGCTTGACCATTACCAGTTAATACGAAAGAATCAGGATCTCCACTCTTGTTGAGAGCAATTTCTAATACTAATTCTTCTAAAGACCATTTATGTTTTTGTGCTACTGCTTGGCGGGTGGCCGTGATAAATGCTTCAGGCATGAAAAGACCACAAATCCATACTTGTAAATCTAAAAAGTCATGTAATTTCGTAATGAGTTATCATTTTATTTCTCTCTACTAATATATTAGCGCCAACACAAGATATGTTAACTTTTAAAGAATTTGATTTTTTTTTTTTTTTTTTTTTTTTTTTTGAATGCGAATAAATACTAACGTTTTTTTTTTTTATGCAAAAATAATTGCCATCTACTACCAACAATATAATCTTCCAAGAAAAAACAAACCGATCGCACAGACCTTAAATCACTTCGCACTAGAATGCCGAATCAGCAAAAAAATTTGGAAAACGGCATACAAGTTTTTGAAAATTCCGCTAGTCAACCTACCAGACACGATAGAAGAAATAGTTACAGTAAGCAAAATAAGGCCGCCCCAGACTTATCCGATTATGGCCTGGCTCCACATTAACATAATCTATGAAATATGGTTCTGGTTCACTAACGTAAAATGGGGAGACAATCCACTGCCGGAGCCGGCATTACCCTTTATTTGGAAGAACCGAATCCTCAAAGAAATGGAAAGTTTATTAGCCGAGAAAAAATTAAAGGAAAAAGAAAGAAACTATTTTAAACTGTTTTACAATTCTTATAAAAATAACGCAATTTTAATGTAATTCACTTGTCTCATTACGTAAACAAGGCAACTCTAATATAATTTCCAATTTAGGACTACAATTACCGATGTAAATAGTGTAAATAGACTGTAAATTTACTTCGATTTAATAAAAGCGTCTTATGACGGTTTCAGGTACACACTACCCGGAAAAAAAATAAAATAAACAAACCGATCCATTGTTATATTAATAATAAGAGTTGTGTATGTGAAAAATATATTATATATTTGATTTTATAGGTACATTATTGCCAGCAATTTATTGTTTCGATTAGTACGAAGCTTGAAAGAACAAAAGTCATGAATAATTAATATAGGTTCGCGCATTGGTAATGCTAAAATTTATCAGAATTCATTTATTAGAAAAAATTAGAAAAAATTTATTAATTACCATCCCAATATCTTGTGTATTAACTGCTTAAGAAATGCAATAGATCAAATTATCCAGTTATCATCTGAGTTTTCATTAGGAGAGCTTCTTCTTGCATTGCGAATACAAAGTAAAATTTCCCATTATATAATATAATTAGATATAATATAATTGGAAATTTTACTTTGCATTAGCAATACAAACTCTGATTACACTCAATGCATATTCGAGGCACTAAACAAGGTAGGACAGCTGTGCTGTTAAAATCCTTTACTATTGAATTTTAATTTGAGATAGAATTTATGATCATAACTACACGATAATAATTCTTCATTATCCGGTATCTATCAGAGTTAGTCAAGGATAAATTCTGGATTATCTGAACAAAGGTTCATTAATTGTTAAGCCTTGCACGTTTATAAGGACGTGCTAGGCACAGTTATAACCTATTACGGCACTACGACAATTATAACCATTAGGACATATTTACAACTTAGAAGATTAGTTGCAACCCAGTCTGTATGTGTTACGAAATAATCACGTTTATTCTAATTAGAACTCAGCGGAGCGGACACCTAGTATCGCGCACGTCCCAACCAAAAAAAAAGAAAATTTTTGTAAGATCGATAATAACTCGAAATTTTGCCTAAAAAACAGCATTTTATGTTCTAATAAAGAACATTCCTTGCAAAATTTTACTATAATTTTTGGCCTAAAATGACCCTAATTTTAACTCTAAAATTAAAGCAAATTTACGACTAATAGAATGTTTACGTTTGTATCACGGTGTGAAATAAAAATATCTAAAATATTACATATATATTGTTATATAAACTTGATAAAGTTATTTGTAGAAAAGTCTAGTACCGTCACCAAAATCAGGTACGTAATTGCTGCTTAAAATTCGTTCTGAGCAGACTTACGAAATCATGAGATTATCGAAAAAAAATAATTGAATTTTTTTATTTATTCGAATTATTCAGATGGGAGCTTATTGCTTTGAATTTTGAATCGAATTACATTCAAATTTGAATACTTAAAAGGATTACAAAAAAATATAGTTATACTCTTTATTAAAGCGTAAAAGAATGCTAATCTAAATAAATCAGTGATTTAACAATTACTAAATAAAACGCATCTTAGTAATTCTGAAACAACAAATACATTTAAACTATTTCCCAACAATCTATATTTTTGAATTAAACTAATATCATCAGGAAATTCCAAATAATTTGATGATTGCATTAATTCAAAATCATTAAACAATTTTGGGGCATAATTATTGTTAAAAGAATCAAGCCTATTTTCATTTTTTCTATTAGGACTTTTTGATAATTCAGATTTCGAAGGAAATGCATGTAATTTAGCAATTTCTAATGGCGTAAAATATCTTAATCCAAGTTCGAGTAATGATTTGGGATTTTCAAACTCGTAATCTGTAAACTATAATAAAAATTTGATTTTAATAATAATAATAAAATAATTATAAAATATAATTAATATTCAAATCGCACCAGTAATGCTAACACATCTATATATTTTTAATGGTTTACACATAAAAATTAGGGTAATGTATCCTGAGATACAGCAAAGTAATAGATTCGAATTTTAGTTAGGACGAGATTTTTGGGAAAGCTGAATATTTTTCTTAGTATACCTGACATTAGTTAACTTGTCATTTGTTAAGATATAGCAACCGTGATGTTAACAATATTGGTGTGATTTAGTAAAACTATATTAAAATACCTCTAAATTTTTAGTTTGTATAAGTGAACCACTTCCAAATACATGATGACTACCATAAGACTATTAATAATCAAAAAATGATTTAAAATAATATTTATCAAGATGCAAAGAATGATGTAATAATATTATTATACTTTTGTAAAACATGAACATCTTTTATCAGTTGGCCTTACAATATCTATAAAAGAAAATTATATATGTTGTAAGAACTTACAAGTTATATTGTTCAAATTGTTTATATATATACATACCAAATTTAAAATTAAAGCTTTTCAAAATATTCTTTTCAGGAACCAGATATTTTTTTAATTCTTTCTCATCCAAACAACTTTCAATATAGCTGTTCAGCTCAGGAACATTAAATTCTAAAGGTTGTTGACCTTGTTGCTGCTTCCAGTGATGACATTTATTATTTTCCTTATTATTATTCAACATACATTCAAATGGCCAAGATGTATATATCATTGCCTGTTCAAAATATTTTTGTGATGTGATTACTTTCTCAGATTTATTAAAAGTTGATATTTTTCGTGCCATCAAATAATATCGTAATCGATCATTTGGAATACCAAATTGTAAAGGAGTTAATAAACATTCATGAATTTCGTAATTCATTAAACATATTTGAGTAATTAGTTTTTCTCGAGATTTTGATTTCTAAATTTAAATGCATGTATATAAGTTAAAAAAAAAAAATCTTCAATGCATAATAGAGTAAGGATATTTTACCTCAAAATTCAGAACATTTTCAAGAAAAATATAATCAGGTGGATTAGATAATTTAGGCAAAACATCAATCAAATGAAGTAACCCTTTTGCTCTTGGATCTTGATCATCTAACCCCTTTCCACCACGTGTATATGGTTGACATGGCGGACTCATTAACCAACAATTTGCATCATATCTCTCAATATCATTAACACTTAAAAAATCAATTCCTTTCTTAAAGAAAAAAAAAGAAGGAAAATTAATTAAAAATCAATTGAAAATCCTTATAACTTAATAAGTAATACCGTCACAGGAGTTTTGCCAAAATTGTGCTTGTACGTAGCATTTGCTATAAGATTTATATCAAAACTAGCTACAACTTCTCCGAAAGGACATGCAAGATTGAATGAATAATGCTGTATGAAAAATTTTTATAAAAAAAGAAAATTGAATTTAACATTCTATATTAAAATCAAGAAAAAATGAAAATAATTACAAGGCCACCTATCCCACTAAAGAATTCTAAACACCGGATGTGTCGTAAAGATTTTGGTAAATAGTTCATTTATAACTGTCTTTACTAAAAATTATATTAATGATATCAAGATGAATTAACTTTACAACAAATCATGGAATATGGTTAAATTATATAAGAGTTAAAGATTATGGCAAAATTGTCCGAGGCAAACTTTTTGTTAACGTATAAAGGTTGGTTTCTCGTGATTTTTTTAAAGCCGACATTTAATTTTCTTTGCCATGCTATGTTACACCAGATCTAAATTCGCTATTGGCTAATACTACTTTTGCCATGATTGGTTGATGTAGTATAAATGATTGTAATTAATTAGTTGTTAGACAATATTTTGTGTAAATGCGAAAGACGAAATGGCAAAATCAGAAGAGGTCTGACAGCCTACTCTAGTAGAGTTTTGGGCTGAGAATAAATTAGTCCTAGCTATAGGTTCATGTAATAATTTATGTAACTCATTTTCATTAATGTAATACCAAATTGTTCAATAAAGACCGAGGCCAGGTCTCACTCTTAAAAAAAAAAAAAAAAAAATTTATTTCTTTTCAATTTTTAGAAAGAGTCAATTTTAACTCATTAAACTTCAATGCCAACTATATTAACCTTATCTATTTAATAGCTATTAAACATCTACTATCAATTTCTCCAATACCAACAATTCCAATTTCCAACTCTTATATCTTAAATATATTCAAAACTAGTGAAGCAGCAAACACACTTGAACAATATTTAATCCTTAATAGCTCTCAATAACAACTTACTTTTAATACTGATGGTTCAGTAATCAATATTGGAATCGACCAATGTACAATGGGCATTGGCTAGGTTCAGATCAATAACAATAATTAAATTATTCACAAATTCTCTACCAAAATCAACTTCTGGTTATTATTCTATAAAGCAGAACTGATGGCTATTCTCTTGACTATTTCCACCATATTCTGAAATGCAATAGTCAACATTTTTACAGATTCCCAATCTATCATCACTAAATATATCAACATCTATAATACAATTTCTAATTCTAACAAACTTTTTAAATTCAATACATAACCTATATGATATACTTTATTGAATATTATTAAATTATACAATCTTCAAATTAACTTCTATAAAGTTCAAGCTCATACTGACAACAATTTGAACAATCTTGCTAATTCCCTTGCTAAGCAACATAATCTCTTTCCTAATTTATACTTCAATTATACTAATATTTATAACTCATATCATATGCTATACTGGAACCAACACTTTATAAAATACCCTATAAGAACATTTATCAAAAATATTTGCAAAGCCTATATTCTGACAATGTGGTTATCTTAAAAATGAAACCAAAAATAGATCTAACTTATTTCTAAAATAGATCAGAGATCTACTTGGCTATACTTTAACTATAACCAAAAACCAATACATAATATAACCAACTTTAAACTTAATCATCTAAATTCTTTAAAATCAAAATTCTACTAAATGAATTACACATATACTTTCTATATCATAAAATATATCCACATATTTTCTATAATACAAACTGCTTCTATTGCAACTTACCTGACTTCTCAACATATTGGTGAATATGTTCTAATCTAATACTACTTACTAGTATTATTTGAGATACTATCTCCAAACATATTAGTGAAAGTAATCTGGACCTCTGTAAACATTAGCAAGAAGAACTTATTCAAAAAATTCAAAATTATAAAACTTTTCACTAGATACCATTTAACAATAACTCATTTTATCTTGATATCATTCTTAAAGAACTTATACCCAAATATCTGATTCAAATAATTCAAAATCTTAACATCTCTTACAAATTAGCATCACAAACAATTATTAAAATACTACTTGAAATCAATAAGCTATGTTATGAACTATTTTAAAAACCATATTGCATAAATTTTGCAAATTGGAAAAAACAACAAGGTTTTAAATTTCCTTTTTCCAAATATCTAACTTAAACTAATCATAATAGACAAACTAAATATAACCATCAAACATATATATACTCATGTATATGCAAACTATCTGACCAAGTATACTCAGACTCTAATACATGTCCACCTCTAGATTATGCTATTAGAAAAATCAATATATGAACTATTCTTTGAGTCAAATACAATATTTCATTTAACTATATTTTAACTATTCAAATCTAGATAAGTTTTGACCACTCTAGTAGGTTTAGGTTATAGATAAATATGTTTGAGCTTTACTCTTGAATGTAGTTTTCTTCTTTTTATACTTAAGCTAGTTATATATAGTTAGCAGTTTAATAGTTAGCCCTAACTGCAAGTATTGGCCTCAGCCATAGCATTTATATAGAATTATTTTTGTATATAGTAACTCTATGAAGTTATTAACTTTAAAAACTACTAATAAAGATATGAGCAAGTTCTCACCTTAAAAAAAAAATATATATTATATTGGATGTCTTAAATAAGTAACACAAATATAATTTAAAAATTTTTAATATAATTACTTTTATTATATAATAAAGTTTTTACTTTGATATTTAAAAATAATAAGAGTTTATATATGTATTTTTGTATTAGATAAATTTGTATCAAAATAATAATTTGTTTTATTAATATTAAACAGGTTTGCAGATTATAACTTAATATATTTTAGTTATTTTTATATTAAATAATTTATATTTGTTTATACATTATTTTTTAATTTTATATAACATTGTTTTACAATTATATAGTTGTTGTTTGTTTAATATATTGTTAATTATCTTATTTTGGTATAATATAATAATATTTTTGATAATTATATTCTTTGCTATATTGTTGATTATGATTAAAAGTATTAATAATATAATTTGAGTTTTTGATTTTAGATATATTTAACTAATATTTGATAAAAGTTGTTGTAATTGTATTAGTAATAATAGATTTAATTGTGATAATAATAATAAAACATTATATGTATTTAATAATTATTTGTTTCAAAATAAATTGTATATTTTTAGTAGATTAGATTAGAATATTTTTTAGAAATATAATTATAATATTTAGTTTAAATAAGTAGTTTATCTAGAAAGAATTTAATTTTAAATACTTTTAGATTAAAGATTAAAGACTGAATTTATTTGTAATAGATTTATTATAGAAGTTTATAAAGTTGTAAAATATATTTAATTAATTTTTACTTAAATTGTATTTTTAAAATTTATTTAATTATAAGAATATCATATATCAATATTATTAGTATTATTAATATGTTAGATAAATTTTTTAGATATACATGATGTATATATTTTGTTAATTAATAATAAATATATTAAGTACCTAGAAGAGGTCTGACAGCCTACTCTAGTAGAGTTTTGGGCTGAGGATAAATTAGTCCTAGCTATAGGTCCATGTAATAATTTTTGTAACTCATTTTCATTAATGTAATACCAAATTGTTCAATAAAGACCGAGGCCAGGCCTCACTCTTATAAAAAAAAAAAAAAAAAAAAAAATAATAAATATATTAAGTATGCTTTCTATCAAAATAGTATATAGTAAAGTTAAATATAATAGTAATATTAAATCATTTGTTATATTAAAATAAAATTTATTAGAATCTTTGTTTTATAATTATTTTAAGTATTAAATAATTAAACTAAAAAGTTGTTTTATAATTTGATTCTTATATTTTAAATAAATTGTTTTTATTAGAATAAATAATTATTATAAGTGCTAAATATAATATATATTGTAACAGATAAACAACAATTCTGATACTTCACCTAATAAAACATCATATAATGTTGTAAATTCAAGATTGCAAGACTTCAAGACATAGATTTTATTTGAACAAGTATTTTATTTATTATTTTCTTTATTTTACTTAAGTTTTTTATTTAATACCTAACTAACTATCCTATAAACTATTAACTACTACTATTTAAAAACTTTAATTATTTTTTTACTACTTAGAAGTGCCAAAGATAAGTAACTTTATTAAATTTTTATTTGTTTTTTATACAATTTTATTTGTACTATTAAATTTTATTTATTTTTAAACTATACTTCTATTTTTCTTATTATTTTGTTTTTTTACAATTATATTATTATCCCTTAAATTGTATTGCATGCAAATTTGCCTGCATCTTTTTTTAAAAAATTAATTTTTATAATAAAATTTT